CGCACCCTGGGCAACGTATATTCATACGGCAAAAAAGTCTATCAATGGGCAGTTGACTTCTGACTTCAAACTGTCATGACCCCACTGTATGCCATATTCGACTACCTCCACAGTACTCACCTCACCTTTTTTCTACCTTCGTCTTTGAAGCACTCTTCTGTTCCCCCCACTCCCGACTTTTTTTCCACTTTGATGTTCCTTCCCCTCTGTGAAGCCTGAAGTCATCTAAAGGGCTAATGATAACTATCAGAAAGCCTGCCATTTGATGTTAATTAATAAATAATTTTCATTATTGGTTGTGTTCAGTGAATCTTTTTTGTTTCTATTTTTAATTTCTGAGCTAAATGCTACCCAACATTATTGTCTATTGGCATAATCAGATATTTACTCACATATTGATCCTCATTAGCAAGAGGAAATTGCCATGGAACCCATGAGAGTGATCATGAGAAAATAGGCGAAATTGGCAATTGCACCATATCTTGATAAATCGCCAAAACACAGAGTTCACTTTATGGTTTACCTTTCTGTGTGCAGACTGTGGTTGAATACAGAAGTGGCAAAAAACTATTCCATTAAACACCACCACTGCTTACGCCTCCACTTCTAGCCTAACCTCTCACCCCCCAAATCGTCTGTTATTAAAGACAAATCACGTGGGTTGTGGTAGGGGAAGAAGTTGGAGTAAGTCTTGTTGGCAGGTGGGCATTACACAAGCAAAGGGGAGTCAAGCGGCAACCAGTTGAATGAGTGCGAGGATTTGTAGAGCAGAGAAAGAGCTGTATTTTAAAAGTGACTTCATTCAGAAAAGACATCAGTGACATCTTCGGGAATTGAATGGCCATGGAGTTGGCAAGTGACAAGTATTAGGTGACGTTAAGAGAGATTCGAGTCGTTATAGTTCACGGTTAGGAGAAGCCAAATTGATATACTCTTCATTCATTGTGGTTTAGTTCACATTTTGGCTTCATACCTTTCCCAAAGTAATATGGTTGATCGTGGTTATACCTCATCATGTGCTTTTCAAAATTGACCGGATAAGGGGTACTGGAGTCAGCAAAATTCAGGTGTTACCATTTCAGGAATAACATTCGAGGTAGGTTATTGAATCAGTCAGTTGAAGCAGACTTTCATCCTGTAATCAATGGGGTAAAGTGTTGTGATTTGTTTGTTGGCCTCAAGTCACCCACCTTTTAGACGCAATCGTTTATGTTACACATACCTGTACCTTTAACCAGACACCCCAGCTTACAATTCTGTTTCAATGGAAAGGCGATAGAAATTTAAAGGACCACAAACGAGTCCCTGCATTCAGAATACCTCAGGTTGCTCTCAAGTGTGGATGAGATCTTGTGTACAGAAGGAAAACGGCACTTATTAATTGAAACACGTGATGTCAATGACCGAAAATAAACATTAAACAAATATGTTCCACGTACTTCTCTACTGTCAAGAGAAAGGTTGCTTTTTTCTTCAATTCTTTAATTGTTGTCACTTGTGTTTATTTTCTCTCAACCAATCAGTAGTTTCTTTAACAGGAAATGACTAGTTTATTGGCATTGAAGTCAATTCCGCTAACAATCGCAGTGGTCATTTAGATTTTTCGTGTCAGTCATTTGTTCATTCCATTTTCATCTGTTTTCCACTGTTCATTGTTGTAGAAGTATTTCCATAAAGTTAGTTTGAATGATGATGCAGTACTCCCCATAGCACGTCAACAGTGCCATCACAATAACGCACAAACTAGCACACAGAGTGCAAACCTCTGTGGAAATGCTCCACTTTATGTCTCACTTTCATTCCTCTTCTTTATAGAAGTTGTGTCCTCTTCGATCGACCTTGTATCTCATTGACAACTTTTGTACATATCTATTGGAGTACGGTTCCATCACTCAGTTCAACATTTTCGACTATCCATTGAACTGTGGTAGGACCAATGTCGAACCAAAGTTGGAGTAAAGTGCAACACATGTCTGTTTAGTCGATTTCAATTTTATTCTTAGACTCTGGAGGAATATTGAGACAATGAAAGGAGCATCAGCATTTTTTCATTCGTGGTCTCGATAGGATTCTTTGTTTTGTTGGAAATGCTCAAGTAAGTTCTTTCCTTTATTAGATTACTACTACTACTATTACTATACACTTCTGCTTTTTATTACTCCAATTTGACATGTCTTTCTGAGTAACTTAATGCAGAAATTCTAATCAACTCGTTGATTAGTTGTCTTAGCCAAGTACTCTTCAAATCTCTTTCTAAATNTGAAAGGAGCATCAGCATTTTTTCATTCGTGGTCTCGATAGGATTCTTTGTTTTGTTGGAAATGCTCAAGTAAGTTCTTTCCTTTATTAGATTACCAATTAGTTTAACCCGGTGAATTTCACTTACTTGTGTCTAGTCTATACTACTACTACTGCTACTACTACTATACATTTCTGCTTCTTATTACTCCAATTTGACATGTCTTTCTGAGTAACTTAATGCAGAAATTCTAATCAACTCGTTGATTAGTTGTCTTAGCCAAGTACTCTTCAAATCTCTTTCTAAATTGCCTCTGAGAGTAATGGAATGAGGCAAGGAATGGAAGGTTTTGAGGTTTCCACGCGTTCACAGAATAGATAGGAAAGAGTAGATTAGATGATTTTATTTGGTGCAAGTATAAAAATACTTAACGGAAGCAAAATAATAAACAATTATTTTTCATTCATCGAATGAAAATAATAATAATAATGAATTATCACATTCATGAGTATTTTCTGTTGATGTTCCAATGGCGAAATGGTTTTTTGTAGATCCCCTGAAAATAGTAAGTAACACGCCTTCTGATAAAGGTGAGATCTCCACAGCAAATTCTTTTGTGCATTTGCGCTGAAAGGTGAAGTGAAGTGCATTATTCCATACGACGAAATAGTCTTATTCTCATCTGTTTGTTGGCTTGATTTTTCAGTTGATGTAAATTTTAATTTGCCCATTTAAATTATTTTAACTGGTATCTGTTTAAATATCGTTCATGATCTTTCAGTTTCGCAATCAGTTGGCAAAATGGCATACCTTTTTCCCTCTTACTAATATTTCACCAATTTACAATTCATTAAATGAGGTGTGCGATAGACTTACCTCCACGTTGTACACACTGGGCAACGCATACTCATACGCCAAAAAGTCTATTAACCGGCAGTTGACTTCTGACTTCGAACTACCATAACCCGACTGTATGTCATAGTCGACTACTTCCATAGTACTCACCTCACTTCTTTTTCTACCTTTTCTACCTTCGTTTTTGAAACTCTCTTCCGTTCCCCTCCACTCTCGACTTTTTTCACTCTGATGTTCCTTCCCCTCTGTAAAACCTGAAGTCAACTAAAGGGCTAATGATAACCATCAAGACGCCTGCCATTTGATATAAATAAATAAATATTTTATCGACGGTCAGTGCACATGTTTGGCAAGCCTGAGGTCACAAAGTCGATAGTCATCGGGGAAATGTGGTCTACCAATCACACTGGGTAAGTTAATTTAAGATTAGAAAAGGTATAAAGCGAGTCTCGCTTTATGAAGTTGCTCCTGCATATATCTCTCTACCCCTGTTGACAGTCACGATCACTTCCTACTGGGAGGCTTAGCAAGCCCCAACACAAGAAGGCAAATTTACCCCTCATATGATTGTTATCTGATATCCCGCATTGGTCTCGGTAGAAGTTGAGTTCAGAACGCCTGCTATTTGATATAAATAAATAAATAACAATTCATTAAATTCTTCCATCTCGACACTTAAATATTTTCTATTCATTTGCTTTCATCAGGTCTGTTGATGGTATTAATCACTAAATAGACACTATTTGACCAACGAGAATGACATCTTACTAAAACACAATCATGCAAATAGTGACAACATCAGAGTAAACGAACTGATTACATGGAAGAACTTTACTAAAATTAGATGCATTTATGAGTAGACTTGACAATACTATTCAAATTTCTAGCACTGAAATATTTGAATAAATGATAAATATTACGATGTGAAATATTTAACATGCATGTTCTAATAGCAATTTCATCTCACTGTTGTTTAAATCTTGCTATATGCTCTTATATTTCATTAAGTAATTTTAATTTCAACAAATGTTTATTCATTATTCAAAAGCATTGATTACTCAGACGAGGTTTTCTCGAGACACCTAAAGGCTAAATGAATTTTAAGATTTAAGTGGTTTCATTTTGAAATTCTTCTTAATTTTTGCATATTGAAGCAGGTTGCATTATTGACTAGGCTTTGACGAAGTGGATTGTTATGTAATAGGGAGCTGTAAAAAGTGAACTGAAAAAGAAATTTTACGAGATATTATAATGACCATTTTCATTTATCATCCTTCTAAATTCATTGAAATGCTAAATTGCTGGATTCGTAATGCCGCTTGATGGCAAAATAAAACGGAGTTTAAACTAAAGTCCAAAATTAAAATATCCTTGATAGGAAAGTAATGATTAATTTTCAAGAAGTATGTAATGCAGAGATAAAAATAAATTAATATCATTTAATATATAATTTTAAATATGTAAATTTAAATCAAGAGGGTATTTTTAACTGGAATGTAGCATATAAAATACAGAAATATGCTAGACAAATCATGGATTAACTAAATATACAGAATCTTTGTAGAAAGATATAAAATTCATACTATCAAGAAATACGAATAAATATTTTATTTCACTAAGTGTTTACAAAGCGTTAAAATTAAATTAAGTTTTTCTATTTTCATAAAGACCTTGAATTTATGAATTTGTTAAGATCAACCATTATTATAGTTCTGATTGGTCCCATCAGAGACGTTTTGCCTTTTGAAAATGGTTCGCTCACAATATTGATTGTTATTATTCAGTTGGCTTTGGATAAGTCAACCATAAGTTGAAGTAAACAGTCATTAAGCGTATATAATTGATAAATTTATTTGTTGATATTCAACCAAGTACTCTTTTGTTTTTTCAGGCTTCCTGTTCAACCATGCTATTTTCTGTAAAATTAAAATCAACAATTGTGTTATTCTCGTTATTTTTCATCATCTATGCAGATATTCCAATTATTACTGGTGTCATTCCTAGTGAATTTGTCAGTCTTGAAGAAGGTGTTATCGAAGTTCCAGCAAATAAAAATATTACATTGTATATTTATGGTGAAAATTTGGAGAATGTTACTTTCATTTCCTTTGCAACATCCAAAGATAATAGCACAGTTGGATGTGAAAACCATCGCGCTGTTATCGCATCTCCTGTGCACAAATCTACAGTCTACTCCATCGAAACATCTGTTATGCTGCGTCGATTAACTTCTTTCGAATCTGCCTTCTACATTTGCTTTAAAATGTCTGATCCAATTTTCGATGACAATCAAACAATCCACTGGGTATACGCCAAGCCAATGTCTTCTGATTCAGTTGTCACACTCAAAACAGCCTCCACCATTATGCCTTTATGGGTTCAGATTATTCTAATTATTATTCTCTTCTCCTTATCTGGTCTATTTTCGGGTCTTAATCTCGGACTTATGGCTCTAGATAAAACGGAACTCAAGATTATTGAAAGCGCAGGTGACCCAGACGAAAAGCGTTATGCTAAAATAATTCGTCCAGTTAGAGAACGCAGTAACCTTCTTCTCTGCACCATCCTACTTGGCAATGTGACTGTAAATACCTCTCTCACAATCCTCATGGACAATCTAACAGGCAGTGGCTTGTTTGCAGTTATCGTGTCTACTCTTGGTATCACCACATTCGGTGAAATTATTCCCCAGGCTATTTGCTCACGACACGGTCTTGCTATCGGTGCAAAAACGATTTGGCTCACTCGATTTTTCATGGTTCTCATGTTTCCCATCGCTTTTCCAATCAGTTTCATACTCGATAAGGTATTGGGGGAGGATATTGGCCAAGTGTACAACAAAGAAAAACTTGGTGTCCTTTTGAAAGAGCAGGTTAGTCCAGCCACTCTCATTATTCCATAACTTACGTTCCTTGTTACTTGAGTGCGTTTACACAACACTTGGTCAATTTCCTAAGTGATATCGAACTTGAGTGTGCCAGTGGTTAAGTGGTTAAGGGTTCTACTAATTGATCTCAATGATTGAAGATACCTTTGAACCCTCTCATTAATTATTGAATAGTCTGATTAAATTCAAGTACTACAAGAGCCGCTGAGAAAGTGCATGTTTGCGGAACTCTTGGAAATCTTATCCTGGTCAATTCCTCAAGCACATTACATTCGTGGGGTGCTCACATACTGGCTATAAACAGGGTTAATTAAGTAGTCTTTATTGGTTCAGAATCATTTGTGAGCTAGGTTCGATATTCGTGTATTTTATGCACGTGGTGTGGTGTATCCCATAAAGTTGCATTGTTGAACCGGTCAGTAAATACCCCATCAGGCAATATTAAAATGCTATGTAGACTTTAATCTAGTTGGAGAGGCTGGTTTATTTATTTTTAGAATATATTTTCACACTTGGAGCATATGGCATATGCTCAGCTAATTAGCTCTGCTAAAATATAACTAACGTAACTAAATTAACTTTAGAATGCTTATTTATCAATGTGTCCTCTGGATTGAACGCAAAATATTGCGCATTTCCGAGGCAGAAGTAAATCCCCTTCACTGTCGATTTCCTTTATTTTTTCAACAAAGCATTGGTGAATAGTCAAGAATATTTAAATTTATTTCTTTACTCTGATTTAATTTATTACTTGAGAATTCATCTACCTTGAAGAGAAGAATAATTGTCTGGAATTTTTTTCTTAATTGAAATACAGTTTGAAAAGCCTGTTATCCATTAACCATATTTTATTTTTTTACGTTTATTGCACTTTATTGAACCGAATTCATTCTGCATTTGGTGGATTAGAAGATCTTTCAGAATGTCATTGTTTGCCTCAACTTATTCACTTGCTTAAAATTGTTATTGCATTTTTCTTTAACCATCTGGTATACAATTCACTACATTTTTAAATTTGTAGATGTCTAATTTATTTAAGCTTTGAGTAAAAAAATTCCAACCAGCTATCACTGTATACCACCCTATCATTTCTTTTCTTCTGAATGTCATGGTATGAAACCACATTTATTAATCTTCCCATCAGGAACCCTCTTATTGAGTAGAGTATTAGTAGGAATCGATGTAAGATATTAGTCATCATTATTGATCTTTTCATGAAATGCTTTCTGAACGAAGATTAGTGCTATTGCACCTTGTTGTCGTTGTCAAGTCAAGCCAGCTCAGGATTCATTTTTTTGATATGGTATGTATTTTTTTCCGTGCAAAATGGAGTTCCTTAATTATCAGCATTCAACTTAATAATAAGTTAAATGCTGGTACCGTTTTTTATCCATTGCTGTTATCCTGCTCTTTGAATTCGTTTTTTTGTAGCTTTCGGAGGAGCATAATATTTGCCATTGCGTTTTATGCATTCGTTCGTTAAATTCCAGTCATGTCAGGATATGATGTTTCCTTATTTGGAATACTGATTAAAAATTTGGCATTCCATGCTTTTCAAATTTCAGCGTGTATCAATAGGCACTTTTTTGATTTTTGTGGATTTCTAATATTTCCCGGGTCAATTGAGGAAGGGGTGCTTGGGTGTAGGGAAGCCTGTGTCTTATTTGATCACTCTGGTCTGTCCTTAGCATATTCATTATTTTCCATTTCACATAATGTATGCTCATTGAAGGCCAGACATATGCATTCTTAGTATTGTTCTAGAATCGCAAATTCAGAACTTCATGATTTGTCGCATGATTTACTTATTATCTATTATGGTGGTCTATCTTTTGTTTCCCCAATGTTAAAATAGCAAAATGAGCTTGGATGATATTAAACAGCAGATGTGATCTTAGTACTCATAACTTAAGTAGCTTAACTGTAACCCTCCTAAACGCACTAGATACACTGCAAGAGTGTAGATATGGCTATTTCTACTTGTCTTGTTCTTGCTTTCCAGCAAAACGCTGGACTGGTCGCTCCAGATGAAATGAACATTATCGCCGGTGCCTTGAATATGTCTACGAAAACAGTGAAGGATATAATGACACCACTTAGTGACGCCTTTATGCTACCCAACACAGCTCTCCTCGACTTTGACACAATGAATGAAATCTTCTCTCATGGCTTTACTCGTATCCCCATGTACGAGGGCGATCGTACGAACATTAAGGCCATTCTTAACGTGAAAGACCTTGGATTCATCAATGCCGACGACAAAGTGCCTGTCGCCACAGTGTGTAACTTCTATAATCGATCGATTGTTGTGGTTCCTGAGTCTACCAGTCTTGAAGCTATATTGAAGGAGTTCAGGCAGGGTAAGTCGGTTGTTTGTTTTTCTCTGTTTTAAAAATAGAATATGATTTATTTTCCTATGTTTTGCGCATAACTAAGTCGTAAACAAGCGTATTGCATACTTCCGGTCGTGAATTGTCAGCTGCATTATCTTTTTAGTAAATTCTCTTATAACTACTAGGGTGGGTTATTTTCAAATTGTTTTAATTCTTTTAATTTTTTAGGAGAAACAGTCGTTAGATTGTTTATTGCCGATTCGAGCGGCTTGGCCTTGCGGTTGCAATAAAGTACATTTCAGGTGTTAGTCTCTGTTCGTTTAGATTCAAATGAAAATCGTTATCTAGGGAGGGTTTCCTTCAATGCCTGCTTTGAAATCTTTGCTTAAAGGCTATTTGTTCTGTTCATGAGTTTGGTGTGTGCGCGTGCTATGTTTGTCGGTTAGGCAGGTGAGGAATTTCCATCTCTTACGTATAAGGAAGAACGAAGCAGGATTACTTGCTTAGAGTTGTGAGATTTTCCCCATTTGTTGCTCAGCCTTCCCTTAAATTGAATGTGGTTTGAAATAACATACTGCAAGGTTTGATTGGAAATATGGGCGTGGTTGAAGTCCTTGCAATTCACTATCCTGGGAAAATATGTCTCCAAAGCAACTTGGGAGGCCGAAACTGACTTAGTCGATTGTTTTTCTATATGATATTACTATGTATTTCCTTCTACTCAATAAACAGGAATAGCTCTGCGGTAAATTGTGTGTTTACTACCGATAACTTCAATGCAACAGTATAGAAATTGTGTATAATAATAAGGAATGGTAGTTTCAAACAAAGTAGAAAACTATGAAATGGCCAGGATGAAAAAGTTCCGGCATAAATGCAGTAAGGTAATTTGATGTTATATTTTCATTTAGAAGTGGTAAATACAATATATTATGCGTCCCTACTCAAGTGCTCATTATCATCATCATTTTCATCAAAATAGAGGACCCGAGACTTTCTTTATCTTAGCCACTCCGCATATCCAATAGGAGAGGTAAATGACGAATTGCTTAATATCAACAGAGAATCGATATAAGCAAGGATGCACCTATTTAAAACAGTAATCAATGTAGTAAATACGATGCTAATCTTCCATTGCATTCGCTTTCCTACTCCCATGTTCTGACGATTTGGCTATAAAATTATTCTTTTTTTAACCTACTGGTGCTTCTCCCCACTATCTCTCTAAAAGTGGAAATGCTAGAAAATGTTCGGACTTGTGTGTGTGTGTCTGTGCATGTGTGTGTGTGTATATTGTGCTATTTTGTTCAACCTTGGTTGCCCATTTTTTGGCTAACAATAGTTGGACTTCTGTTCTGTTCTGTGACTGTGACCTCGTCAAGTTGAACGAATTTCAAGAGGCGTTTTTTTTCTAATAATAAACAACGGTTAAGCTCTCTTAGTGCGTTCTGTTGTCCAGTTGTTTATGCTTTCGTGATGAAATCACCTATGATCAAATTTGCTTTATCGTTGCACCATTATTAACAACGCGATATGGTTTATGCGTTATTTGATGTTCACTTTGTGCAGTCACACAAGTGGCAGTTTTAATTCGTAGTTCAATCCATTGTCTGTGGAGGTAAGGCGATAAGGGTGCGAAAGTTTGTTCTCCGCAAACGCTTAATGTCCATTACAAACGCAGTCTCATACGGCTGTAAACTCGATAGAATTTTCTTGAAGAAAATTAGAAAATGGGGTTAAAATAGCTCAATTATTCTCCACTTTTCCCGTTTTGTAATTTGTTACACACCAGTTCAACGTTGGTTAGTAGTGTATAGCTTTAAAATTTGCCTGAGAGAGAATGGAGTTAAACTTGGCTATATATTGGCTTTGGAAACATGAGTTTCCATGCGGCTTTGTTTGGAAAAAATGCAGCGGTAAATCAGCGTTAGATGGAGTTTCCAGTTTTTAAAAATAAATCTGATTCAGTTTAACCGTAACTAAATCAATTATTTTTTATTCATTCCCGATCTTTTTGTTCCTCGTTATTAAAATTTAAATTGAGGGTTTATTCGGTTGTTCTTTACGCTCACTTTTGAAGCCTTTAAATCACAAACCGCAACTCCCTTACTTTCAATAAGCTAGGTGCTAACTTTTAAAACGGTGGTGTGACGTAACGATTTCATCGGTTTATATTACGTTTTAATTGATAGCATTTCCGCCTTATCTTTGTAGGCAAGACCCACATGGCCTTCGTTGAGCGCATTGAGCCAAATGGAGTTGGTGACCCCTACCAGGAACTCGTTGGTTTAGTCACTCTGGAAGATGTTATCGAGGAGATTATTCAGGCTGAGATTGTCGATGAAACAGACATCTTCAGTAAGTACTTCTCGCGTTGACACTGATTCACTGCATTTCATTATCTCTTATGGGTGGAAATCATCCTGTTGTCACCTTTTAGCCGACAATACCAGAAAGCAACCACGGATTGTCAAGAAGGCAGACTTCCGAGTGTTCAAAAATACCACAAACACAAATAAACCGCGACACCATCTATCGCCACAACTCAAAATTGCCGCTCTTCGACATTTGGCATCAAGTGAGTTGCCAAAATCGCAAACTACTGGGAAGTCAGCTGAAATAGACCCAATAATGTTGGTGGTGGGGGGGGGGGGGGGGGGATTAGATGGCTAGTATTTTTTATTGTCAATCCTCCACCAAGATAGTTTGCGATTTCTGTAAGTGTCATTGATTTATGGGAGTGTAAAGACTCAATGGAGATCCTCTGTTTGTTTTAGACAATACTTTGTCAATCTGGGAAATTACGGGGCATTTACGCATCCATGTTATAACAGTCAACGCCCATATTTGTTTAGTCATATATCACGAGATCGATATCCATCAGATGACAGTAATAATGGTCCGATGTCAAAAATTCGAGTGTTAGGACACGCTGTCCGTCAACTGGCTTGGAGGCCAATCCTACTCCTTTAATTAATGTTGGCCATAAAAACGCTGAAGAACTAATTTGTGGCGTTAAGGCACCAAGAGATTTTCTTTTTCTGACTTATTGGAGTATAGTTCACTCTGTTAACGCCCTAGTGTGGACATCTGGTTATTTGGCTCCAACTTTAATTAGTAAAAGCGATAAGCAGAGTTTTTAAACCAATTGATTTGATTCTCAGCTAGGCCACGCCACTTTGATTGTTTCCTACTTTCTTACATCAGCGATTAGGTGATCAATATTAGGACAGAGCAGAGCTGGCTATAGAGAGTTCACTGTTGGTAGACTACAAAAAATAATAATTTTTTCAACTACCATTGTAAGTGGTCTGACAGTGATAATTGTACTCTAAATCTACTAATTGCGGGATTTGAATTACTTTTTGGCTTCCAAACCACTTGTGTTTAGGTACCATATATCTAAGGTTCTTTAAGTCTCTATTAATTTAGCTGTATCAGTAGTATCGTTTGTCAATGTCAAATACGGGATATCATTTATTTATATCAAATGGCAGGCGTCTTGATGGTTATCAATAGCCCTTTAGTTGACTTCAGGCTTCACAGAGGGAAGGAACATCAAATTGACAAAAGTAGAGAGGGGGGGGGAACAGAAGAGTGTTTCAAAGATGTAAGAGACAAACACAAAGGTAGAAAAAGGTAAGAAGAGTATTGTGAAATAGTCGAATATGGCATAGAGTGAGGTGGTGGTAGTTTGAAGTGAGAAGTCAACTGCCAGTTAATAGACATTTTTGCCGTATGAATATGCGTTGCCCAGGATGCACCACGTGAAGGTAAGTCTATCGCACACCCCATACGGGCTATCATAATTCTCAACACTTTGCCGTTTAACTTAACTTTGCAAAATATTAGTGGGTCTCAGTTGGCTGCGATTTCACTGCCTTAGCACTGTCCATAGTTAATGTCTTCTCTTATCACCCTGGTTTCGGCCTTATCTTGTCCTTGTTGTGTTTGACTTTTTCCCATTTAACTCGAGTGCTTTGCACTTTTTTCCTATGGTTAAACTTCGTTAATAAACGATTTGTTGCACTGGGTTGTAGTAGAGCCCTTTTTTGCTATTCTCCATCATGGGATGACATCGAAATAGACAAAATGGAATAATTATATCAAATTAAGTTTGTGATAAGAAATCATATTTCTAGCTGCAATCAACGCTCTTTTCTGTTACGATATTGACTATCTGCTTTGTCTGATGTTCCGATTCTCACATCCACCGATTTTTCCCCATTTGCAAGATTCCTCTAGACATTTGCTATACTGGGAACTTGAAAACAATCAATCAATTGAAAGTGATATTGTCTGCGGAAGGCTATCGTCTGAAATCATTTTCATCAGTTTTGCTGGTTTATTGTAGTAATGCGTTAAAGATATGGTGGGATTTGTTGAATAATTGATTTAATTTAATAATTTACCACAATAATTTTCTCGCTGTAAAATTGCATCACGGGTTCGGCGTTTGAATGCTCTCAGGCCATTTATTGCAATGATATTGACTTGATTATATTGGGATAATATGTGGAAAAAATGATCACCATGTCAACCACTCGAGGACAACGTAACTTTTCATGCACTTTTCGTATTGCTTATTTTACTGTGATTTCCGCTTTTCCTAAGCGTAGTTTTATAGTAAAGTCAATGATTTAATTACGAAAACTGGTCATTATGCCAAGGGCAAACTAGACAAGGACTTTCTATTTTACTTGAAGAAAAAACAACAAGGCACTAGAATCCTTTGAGAAAGATGAAGTCTGAATTTGAGTTTTTTGGGATCTTCCATTTTTCACTTCAGATTTCAAACCGTGGAATCTCTAACCCCCCCTTCCCCTAGGTGTATGTGTCTGCGTTCTCGGCCTTAGTGTTCAGAACAGTTTGCTTGGTGGGTGGTGATTGGAAAGGCTGGTTTGTGTCACCTCAGTTATGATATGCATAAAACAGTTCAATAAGTCAAACATTTTGTTCATATTCCCTAAGGTAGCATATTAATTGTATTTCATTGAACACCAATCTGTATTCAAATAACCAGAAACACTTTTAAGTACGGTTATGTGATGTACGTACATTACTGCATGGCTTAATGGAATGCTTTTTGGCCTTATTACCAAATGGAGAATGTACTATCATTTACCTAATACATATTTACGAAGATGTTCTGGTTTTGCCATATTATCAATAAAAGTGGAACTACTGATTCACTAATGCGTCTGAGAATTTTTTCAATTGTCGGAAAGTCAGTTAAAGTCGCATTTAGTTCAGTTTGAATTTCTTTGATGTTCTATTGCTTCAAAATGGGTATATTTGCAATATTAGTGCTCTATATCATACAATTTCATCGTTAAATGATCGTTTCTGTTAATGAATGTGGGTAGTTATTTGTTATGAAGCAGCTAAAAAAGATAACGCCTTGTTGGACTTCCTTTTTTTAAAAAAATATGATGTATCTGGCACCACTTTTGTGGATCGGTTGACTAGCGATCAGCACATTAAATTGGGTTCAATATTCATAAGCACCACACCCAATGGACAGCATGATTAGACTAGGTTAAAGATGGATTCTGAACCGCCGTTTCTCAACAGAGAACGGATGAAAATATTTATCTTAACTTGACCTAACTTAGAACCTATCTGAAAATTCTTACCTAATCGCGGGTCATCCACTGTCGGTTCTCTTGACTAGTCGCAGTTTTCTTTTTGATGCGTTTGAACTCGGGGTTTGGGTAGAGAATTATTCATTTCTAATAATCTCCACTTTTAATGCTTCTTCTTATATGGATTGGACAAATTTATTGTTGCCGTGCTAGCTTTGAGGTAGTTGTCCAATCTTCCAAAATTTCAGATCATTTTTAACCATACATTTCTGCTATCTTTACTCTATTTAAGTCTATCTTAAGCATGTGCGTGAGTATACTAATGGCATACCTTTTTCCTTGTAGACATTGATGCCTTCAAAGATGAATACGTGGCTCTCTCTGTACTCCAATCTATGCTCAATTCCAACGTTGTTATTAACCATCTCTTTAAGTATGTCATTCTTTTTTTCCCATTTTTTCATTCATAATTATTTAAGTTGCTATTTCACGGGTCTTAAACCGAGGAAAGTATCTTAATTCTCAAAATTGCGAACTAGGCCAATTAGGAGCCTGAATAAGGAATCGAAATATGGGGGCCTTAATTTATGTGATACAATCCACGTTGTAATATAGTTTTTTTCAAAAAAATTTCTACTTTGCCTAATTCCAAGTGTCTGAGCCCGTTCTTGTACACGACATTACGAGCTTATTGGCTAGTTAATTTAAATGACTGGCCATACATTAATTTGATTAGTTTGTGCATGATCTTATTAACCACAAAGAGGCAGTTATAGAGACTGCCTACCTCACTTTTTTCAATTCCCTAAATCTCATTTCCAAACTGTGCAGGTGGTCTACTAATTGGCTAATTAGACGGATGACTAATCTTTCTATGAGCACTAAATTGTGTTCACTGTTAATTCTTAATCGATTTTTAATAATAATACTTTGGATGACTGATTCATTCAAACGAATTGACTCATTAACGATCACATAGCTTTCGTTGTGATCTTGAGTAACTTCATTAGGAACAAATGAGTAGTGCACATAAAATCCCCGAAGAGCTTCTAGTTGATGTCGGATCTGGTGTGTTTTAGTTCTCCATAGCAATTACTCGAGGCTTGGTATTTTCAGTAGCATTTAATAAAGCTCACTACTGATTTGCTCTAACTAATAGCCTAACCTATTTTTGACAAGTGTATATTGTTCTAAGCATGAAGAAATTTTTTTTGTAGTGCCCGTGTGCACCTTATAGGTTACATTAGTCTCAAGGGATGGAACTTCCAACGCGTTTGATAATCGGTGTCGAAATAGCCTTGAATTGGTCGAATGCTTGGTCATATTAAGGTTTGCTTGGATGGAGAGCAAACGTTTTTTTTAGAATTCCCATTTCTTTAGTTTGCGCCTTTCTTCACTTAACATTTATGGTGGCTAAACGAACAATAATAACTTTTTCAGCTCATTAAAGGCTGCGATGGCAGCACTTGGCTAGGGAAGATAGTGTATCTAGAAGCTGCCGTTAGAAGAAATTCGCTTTCTTTTGCCTATTTCGGTCACAAATAGTGCAGCGTACTACTTATTGTGTGACTGAAGTTAGACTGATGGGCATAAAACCTTATGGATATGCTCCTTGACGGCGGTTATAATGGCGGTTTCTAATGCCCTATGCTAGTCTTCGTTCTCATCGCCCTCTGATATTTGTGAATCTGCGCGTTTTGGATATGTGTTTAGTCCCATAACTTTATTTAAAGTAAGTCATGAAAGCTCAACTTGGATATATCGGTAACTTTTATTTTAACCAACGTGACTTTCATTCCTATCTCACCATATTGACTTTGTTTGCGCTACAGTTCCGGTTGTTGATGTTAGCATCAACGACTAATATTTGCGTTGTTGTCATTTTGTCAAACTTTACTTTTTATCTCGAAAACCACCCCACACTCAATTTGTTTTATTGTCAGTCCTAGTGAATATAGATGGCATAAGGTTAAGTTAAATGGAGTTAGATCCACATAACGATGTGTTGACTTTAATTACTTGGATGTATGTCATGGATTTGGGAAGTAAATATTCCTTCAATGTAGAATGGGCCAAATCGTTTCTATATTTTTTTTCATTTTCAATGTCTTTGATAATATGCAGTCTTCCTCACTGAATTAATCTTATACTCCATTCGCGTTTTTTTTCGCAGTTCCCACAACGACAATGACAATATAATCTATAAGGCAAATCAATACGCCAACTATGCTGTGCTCATACTGCAAGGCAGGGCTCTGGTGGAGACTAGTAATGAGCGCCTCCTTTTTGAAGCTGGACCCTTCATGCTCTTCGGTGAAACTGTTTTCAAATGTAAGTTCATGGGGGGGGGGGTACTTCTCATTCACCGATGTGCCTTTTACTTATGCATTTCTTGACGCCGCCTTATTCAACCTCTTCAAACATTTAGGTAAAACGAGGGTTTCTGATTCTCCCATCGAGTGATGGGTTCTATTTCAGAACCCCTCTACTGCTGTGTTGCTTTCACTAGCTGAATTCGAGTTAATAGGCCCTGAATGAGAAGAGATTAGCCGACTTAGTGGAATAGATGCCGGTCTTTAAATTCTGTTCACCGGTCCAATGTTGGTACTGTGTGGGTTTGAGGAATTACTTTTTGAATGTCGATTTGAAGGTACAAGGGAGAAAGCTATGCCATTTTAGTAAGGGGGATTGAAGTAGATGGAAAGCACCCTTGGCTTTTAAAGTTTACACTTCACGTCTTTGAGGGCATGATTTTAAAACAGGTATTAATGGCGTGTTGTAGGTCCATTCCTAATGTTACTTCAGTAAATAAATAAATAGGTAAGAACATTTCATTGGAGGTGTTAAAGAGCGTCATTGTTCCAGGAATTAGCACCCTTGGGATTGACGTGGAGAGATCAATTTTCTCTCAATTAAATCAAGTCAAATCTCTCGTTGTTCTCCCTAGGCAATTAAACACATGGAAAAAGTCCGTGTGCCTTGTCTCTCCTTTTTTGGTCTGGGAGAGAGTTGAGTTAAAATTGCCTTAGATGAGGACTTGCATGAACCAAATCTTATAAATGAGGGAAGAAAAATGTATGTTTGGAACTGTGAAAGTTACAAAGAATGACAGGTAGGAGCTATCACATCTCCGAAAAATTTAAAGCAGGCTATAATTTAGTTTTGATTTGTTGGTGATGAAAGTGCAGATTTATTTTCTTTCAGTTGTATAGGGGCTTTATCGAATCATCCTCTATTTGTTAGATTGAGCTAATTAATGATCAGTCGAGTTTCGAGCCCACTACGTCAAGCTAATTCCTTCACCATGGTTAAATTCGTATCTGACGGCCTCTCAATTCATCGTTAGTCTTCTTTGTTTCCCTCATGGCTTATTTCAACAAAGCCATATTTTATCGTGTTTGCAAACAAAGGTCTTCATAGTGCGGATGCGTCGGTGTGGTGGGTGAGTTTGGGTAGGGTGGGGGGGGGGGGGGGGGGGGGGGGTGAGTGTATGGTTGAACTAAATTTAGAATGCAAGTCGATTTCGCCATGCGATGATAAAATCGTTTTAGTGCCGACGTCAGTACTAGTGCTTGGTCAAATTGCGTGTTTTCAGTAGATCTCCGTGGTACATTTTATTTTGTGTCGGAATGCACAACATATTGTGTGATCCCAGCCACCCTACGTATTGAAAAAATCGTGCCGATAGTCTAATATAAAGTTAAAATAAGCATCTGCGCTCATCCGGGTTAAAGGCCTTCTATTGCGTTTACTGGGGCTATGACAGATTTTCCAAAAGAATAAAGAAGTGAAATGGCCACCATCCTCCTAACCAGTTGGGGGGGGGGGGGGGGCAAGTAGTCGAAAGTATTTAGTCCATTGTTCTCATATGTCGGTTCGTCAAGATTTCTGGTTTAGTGTAATATCAGTTCATTGGTGGTTCCTCCTATCGGCTTATTATAAAAACGCTGCATGAAATATTGATTAGCTAATTGTTTGGGCAGTAATACGCCAATGAGGAATATGCAAGAGTAGTATTTGGAAATTCCATCTACCTAATCCTATTCACATACCTTATACGAGTCCCGTTGGAAGCTTCGATAAAAAAGGCGAATTTTTTCCCTTTAGCGATCATATCTTTACTCTCTATATCCTATTTCCTCGCAAGGACAACATTTAATTTCCTGATTTGAGAAATTAAAAAAAAAATTTTTAAAGTGAATAAATGATTAGATCAAATCAAATTTTATCCAATGAACAACTTTTCTAAATTATTCAATGGATGCGTAGCAGAATGTGAGTTTGGGAGGTTTCTCATACGATTGACTCCTCTGGCCAAGAAGTGTGCTGATTACTGTCCCCCTCCAATGGAGTTTTTAGTTTTCAAACGTACTTTTTTAATTCCTGAGTTGAAATCAGTTCCACTGCTAGCACACGAGAAAAGTAGTCTACTTTCCTGGTCACCAAGTTCTCATGAAACTTTGACATTTTTACCTCGTTAATTAACTAATCTATGTTTTCTCATGCTGTCCTAATTGCATATCTTTTTTTGCCATTTGTTTATTGAACAACTGGGGGGGGGGGGGGGGGAGGGACCTGGAGGTTCTTAAAAAGGTGCATTTCCATAAAACGCATTCACTAGTTGTGCTGGTGACATATTTTACCCTTGTAATTTGTTTAGAGGACACACGGAAGGGGGGGTGGGGGGTTACACGAAGTTAAGTGCGGGACTGTCCATTTTCTTGTTGTGTTTTAAAAAGAAAACATTTAATATCTTTCCTATTCAATGTAGTAAATATTTGCTTTTTTAATAGGGGTGGAGCTTTTATGTGCTGGGTGTTTTTCTCTCTGTGAATAACGGAAGATAGCTTGATAGCACGTTCAAAAGCCATTCTCTCCCATATACGTGCCTTTGTGTGCCACTTGTCAGTTGCTTTTGTATCGTGATTAATTGATGTGCTCCTTTTCCTAGTCTTGTTGGACGCAAGGCGTTTATTGACAAAGGTTGCCAACATTTGCCCAAAGGAAAAACTGATCGTGAATATATCTCGAAGGGTGTCTAGTTTCGCATTGGCTGCCCAAAATGTAGGGTCTTCAGGAGAACGATTTTTGTGTGCTGTTGGCGAAGTGAAAGAGCGGTCATGGATTTGAAGCCCATTGTTGTACACACCGTGAATGAAATACCTGATTGTGCTACTAAAAGGTAGCTACTAATGACAATGAAGTTCCAATATAAATACCAGTCATTGTCTCCATTTTGAGCTCATTGGTCATGCTCTGAGGGAAATAAAAGGTGGACTTTTCGTTACTTCTGTTGGTGGCTTGCCCTAATAAAGTTTTATGAGGCTTTTATCAGAGATTTCCTACTAGTAACTTAGCGTCGGTCTTTGTTGTGTCCTCGCTTGTTTGCTTTCTTAAAGGGCTTTGAGTTTAAAACTTCGAAGTTTTCTTCCTCGCGAATGGTGAATAATGAAGCTGGAGCTATTGGTAAAATTTATTTCAATCAAATGGCGAGCTTTATGATATTTTTCATCAGCTATTTAGTTGACTTCAAGCTTCACAGATGGGGGGGAATATCAAAGTCACAAAAAGTCGAGAGGAGAAACAGAAGAGTTATTCACATATGGGAAAGAGACAGACATGTACAAAAGTAGTGAAAAAGGTAAAGTAAGCACTGTGGAAGTGGTCGAATATGATATACAGTGGGGTCATGGTTGACTGAAGTTAACTGCCGGTTAATAGATTTTTTGACCATCTAAGTAAACGTTGCCCAGGGTGCCCCACGTGGGAGTAAGTCCATCACGCACCCCTTGGCTAAATTTAAGGTAACGCTTCTTCCTGGTGCACGTTATTACCACTTCATTGATCAAAATGATGTGTTTACTATGGAATTATGTGCTTAAATCTTACTATAAAGGTAAGAAAACGAAATTAATTAGCTAGAGTCTGTCTTCAATTCTCACTTTTACTAATTTATTTCACGAAACATTTTGCTCCCTTATGTTCGATCTATCAATTACCCCATATGCGGTTAAATATCCTAAGATATCCTAAGTTGGGTCTGTCTATTTCAATTGCATATAGAAATGCCATAGTGATTTCTTGCTTGCAAAGAAAAAGGAACGCGCATATCGGGAAACCGGAAATTGGGATAACAATTGGCTTGGCATTTTGTATTCCCTTTCTTTGTCTTGTTCCTTTTTGTATTGATATTATTTGCTAGTTGCTCTCGGGGGCTTTGTTACTAGCTTATTTTACATTTTTAGTAAAAAATTCATGCAATTGTTAATTGGAGGTAGGCAACTGACTTCGAATAAGAGCAATTTCAACAAATTTACATTTCACGACTCGTCTTCTTTGTTTGATCAGATATTCACCGATGTCATTAAATCAAGAAGGGTCGGTTTCATCCCTTCACTTAATAATTGACCTCGTGTAAGACATTCTGCAGCTTGCGGTTTTAAAACTTGACCGAGATGAGATGAAATGTCCAAGTCAGCAGGGCTCCGTAAGCTGTGAACACTCAAAGTGAATTTTGATGATAGTAATAATTAATATTATCAAATTTATTTGTGCTTAAACCCTAACCTCTCCAAAAGTATTAGTTTTTTTAATGGTATTACTTGGATAGAAGAATGCAATCAATATTAGTTGAGGGGTGTTATTCAAAGGATAAATAACCTTGGGGCTTTTTCACGTTTAGTTCGAAAACGCTTTTTCTTCTTCTCTATTTACCGGTCATAAGCCTCACATTAAAGATATCTGCTAACACCTTTCTTTGCTATTTATTACCAGTGTCTTCGACTAGTACTTCCGTTGGGTTCTACTTGATGTTACTTATTTTCTAGGCTTCATATGAAATAAGGCCTACCTTGCTAGGATTTTATAAGCTAAATTGGATTAAATGACATTTCAATGGTTTTGACAAGTTATTGCTTGAAATAGTGTTGCCTCAATTCGTTTGTTGTTTTCTATGAGGAGTTTCAACTTCATGCTTTTAATGGGGTGGAAATTTATTTTTGCCTTTCAGATGGCGTGTTCATTATATGGTTATCATGAACATATTTTGGGGTCGGTTTTCTGTTCATCCACCTCGTCGAAGATTTCCAGTATTTACCTCTGATAGACTTGGCCATTCTCACGTCACAAACGCCATGAGCTTAGAAATGTTTAAATTACCAGCCCTCATGTCTGCCGTTGTATTGTTATTAAAATCATCCCTGCTTAATTGCCTCAATCGTGTACCACTTTAATTGGAAATATAATTCCGTGTTCTATATCCCATTCAGACGTGAATGACATCTATCCAGAGGTCTCCACTCTCAAAGATCCCGAATTACAATCTGCCCAACTAGCTGCCCGGGCTCGATTTCTTCCCGATTACACAGTGCGTGCAACCACCAACATTGAGTATCTTCGTATTACTGCTGAGCATTACCTGCTTGCTCGCAGACTTACCGTCTGGGTTACTAAACTGCATCCTCAAGGTAAGTCTATTTCTGTTTTTATTTGCCCTGCCTTGTTTTGGATATGCTCTATAGACAATGGCAATAGCGTCTCCTGCTTTCCTTTTATTGTCTGTTTCCATATTAGTGATGGAAAAATGACGTGTAATTTATCTGCTCGATTTATGTTTGTTTATATAAAAAAAAACTGTATTTATTTTTATGTTGTACCCATGTTTGAATGCGCTTGGTTTTTTCTTTGAATTCTTACGTAGTCTTCAAGCAATTCAGCTAGTGGCTGGTATGGTTATTTTTTGCGCTCCCTGTCTTCTTGTAGTTGTAAAGGCGGTTTAACATTCTCCTCTGGAAAGAAAGAATTTTGTCTCCTAGTGTTGTTACTAGTTAGACGGTTTAGGCAAAATATATTTACTAACAAGTTAGTTTATTTCATCCATTGCACTTCAAGTAAATTCTGTTTTACGGGAAATTAGTATTCAGCTTACCTACTGAAATAGATTTGTACAGATGGAATATTTTTTTTGAGACAAATCATATTAAGTTTTAATTTGGCATGAAACATCCAACGAGTTGAGGAGAAGATTTTGGTTTCGAAGCTAGCCGACTGCGTTCATAACTACAGGTATTGAATATTGTTGTGGAATATGATTAGAGCTTTTTTGGTGTTTCTGGAATACTCCCACTCTTAATCTACCGACAGTAAAACGGGATTGTTGCACATCTACCCACCCAGTGCCACTTAATTTCCAGACTCCTTGCATCTTCAAAGACTTGTGTGGACTAAGGGTCTTTCCTGTCTGTTTTTACTAGTCAGTTTTTTAAGGAAACACAAAATTCTTATTTTACTTGAGCACGTTTCTCTTTATGGTTGAGCGGCAATTGCAGCAAATATTGGTTTTCTGTGGATTTTGTATTTATTTGCAGTTGTTTTGTTGTCCAGTTGATTCTCAAATTTGTCAGAACACCCGAAATTAACGATTGAATGGTGTTTTTTCATTCGTTAGGATTGTAGAGTGGGAAAAATGAAGCAAAAGAGAACATTTTAGGAGCGTGGACGGTCACTGAATTGGCTCTGACATGATAGAACAAAGATCCTCCTATTCGATCGCGTTTTCTTATGAGTCCTAATAGCATCGAATATAACCATGCCAATTTGTCTTTTTGCCTCGAATAAGGAATGATAAATAAATATTAATAAGTAATATAGGAATCATGCAACAACTCATTCTCCACTTAATCAGTATTTGCGTCGAAAACCTCAAAATAATCAAATCTCTAAAGTAAATGGCCCTTTTAATCGATATCATTTCTTACTTAATAAGAGCAAAGTAGGCCCTGTAGTTCTTAGTATCCACTTAAAGTTGTTCCTTTGTTTGGCAATGCTTTGTCCCTTAGGAATTCACCTAGTTGTCTTCTATGGGCATTGCAGTGCTTTCAACATTGAAGCAGGAATGCCTGCTTATAAGCCCTTATGTTCCACACTGTAACACCTCCAAAAGAACTTGGAAATCCCAAAGAGAATGGGCTATGATTAGACTATACCTTGCTATTTTGTGTCCACATACAACTGTTCATGAGCCAATCGGGATGAGCCTGCCGGGGAGGGGAAACCAACTCGATTCAAATATCTGTGTCTCCTTGGCTCAGACAATGAGCACTTTGGTACCACAGGCTTCTTATTATCAACCAGTGAATTCAATGGTTGTAAAATGGGTCCTCAAACACAAAGTCACTTTCCTCCTCTTTGGATGTTTAAGCAGTTTGCAAGTAATTAGTGTTTTAAACATGTCCCATGCCATGGCTTCTATTCAAATTTTCAATTTCAGTAAGGCTAGATTATCCTTTTTCTTCAATAAAAAAAAACATTTTTTAACTCCACCGATATATTAATTTACCTCTTTTTTATTTTGAGTCGAATTTTTTTCCTATTTATGCTCGGGAAAGGTCAACTGAAATCATTGGATTCAATCCTAACTCTCAGAGGTGCGTCTGTGCCCCAACTTTTGAGGCAGTTCACAAAGTCGCCAAACCCTTTTCTTTTGATGTGTGAAGAGAGGGGGAGAGGGAGAGGGGTGATTTTTAGCATAAAGAAAACGGACTGTCTGAAGTTTCTACTTCTTTAAACCCCTTTTTTTCTTATAAATAAAAATGTCTGTGATATAATGCGGGGTCTGATGGGGAAGGTTTTATTTGCCTTAAAGAAGGTTTCAAACTTTGCTTTCAACATCGGCCTGTGTGTTGGTTTTCAGTAAAATTTTACTTTGGTTATTGTAGACTTCTTTCGTGATTTCAGGCTAGATGCAGTCATTTTAGTGTCCTTCTCTTCATCATAGCAGCAGCACAGTGGTTATTTGTTCAGGCATTTAGGATGGTTTTATTTTGTGAATGACTTCCTCAGCATCTACAGTTATTAGGTTCATTTGACCAGTATTCTTATTTCCAATATGTGTCGATCGGCAAATGTGTGGTCGATTAATATTGTACTTTTCAAGTTATAAGAAAATGGAAATGGTTGATTTTGGGGGAGGGGGATGGGGGTTGTTATTTTATGGTCAAGTAAAATCTATTTCGTTCCTAGTAGCCATAGTTGCAAGCTCTAATGTGTAGTGTCAAAAAGGAAGGTAACCATCAATAGAAATATAGTCACAACGACAGTTGATTTTCACTTTTCTCTAACTGAATTGAATAAATTGAATTATCAGTGGCCAGTCTTTCATCAGTGACTTTTTTCTGGCTAAAATTGCCCATTTTAGGCACTAGCTGCAAAATTTCAATACTCATCAAGAGAACAAAAACTCCATTCTAACTCAATTCTGACGTTGGATGCTAATCTTAACACAGGGTGTTTGAAATTGTAGGAGCGTTTAAACTGGGACCGATTTATTTAATGCAGCCAAACATGCACTGAAATCGTTATTTTTCTCTCTTTAAAGCCACTTTTGTTATCTTGGTCTCAATGCACTGCGAACTGTACTCAAATATCGATTTACGAGAATATTTATCCAGTATTGAGGACCGGCGCGATTGCACGTATTTACTAAATATTTGAAATGTCGCATTCGTGGGTTACCTTTGTCAATATTCGCAAATGACGGAGACTCGATCTAGTTGCGGCAGCTGTGCTACTCATCTTAACTTCTTAAAGGAATCATTAAAGGAAATATTTAGTCCTATTTAACAGGAAGGGTTAAAATTCAGGAATGCATTGAATATATACTTTCGGTTATCATAAAAGCTACTTAGTATAAATAAAAGCGAGATTGATTTGGGGAATGAAAGAATTTGTAAGAAGACTGGGCTTAGTTTGTTTAAAGGAACGCTTTCAATAATCAAAGGCTCCATAAAGCTGCGTGAATTTAATCAAGAGGCAGAGGGTAAGCGCCCCCCCCCCCCCTATCAAAGCACTCACTGCCTTTTCTCCTTAGCTAGTGTTAATTAGATTACTTTCCTTGTTTTCAATTGTTTCTATTGCGGTTGGTGAGGTTACTGTCTTAGCCTAATTTCTTTGCTTCCGCAGAAAGATGCTTAATGGCTTTCAGTCGGGCTAATCGATATGTCCGGTCGTATGTCTCATTCAAAATAAGGCAGCATCTTAATAAGAATTTATCCAACAAGAGCGATGATCTTGCCAGGCCAATTGATCAATAACTATCTTTTTTCTATTTATAGATTTTCGAGATTCCTACCTATTAGTTCATGTTTTAACCGATCACGACGCTATGTTTACAATTGATGATAATTGAATTAAATAGGGTTTTTTATTCTGGCTCTTTGTAAATAGTCCAAATTTCTTAGTTTTCTTGATCCAAAATGTGGACTTTATTTGTATTTTCGAAATTAAGTAAGTTTGGGATCCACATAATCACGCTTTTAACAAATAACCCAAGGCTAAAAATGAATCGCTATCAAAAACATGGGCCTTTAATGAAAGCAGATAAATCTGTCTGTTTGTTGCCTTTGCCTAGACCCTGAAGCAGTATCAACAGACCAGCAGAACATAATAGACGATGTATTTGACTCTCAGCCGAGTAACGAGAGCATGGTTCTGCCCCCATCACAACCAACATCCTCGCCTTCCTCTGTGTAGTAGCTATCTCTCCTGGTGGGTGCCAAAATTGTCTCCACACTCACACGCGCTTCCTTTTTTAATCTCATTTTCACCCGTGTTCCTGTATATTTGCTCGTATCCATCATGCATTGCATTCCGTTTGCGCTATTGTTGTTGTTGTTATTATCGTTGTTGTTATTGTTATTATTATTTTGCTTCTCTCTCTCTCTTATTCCCATTTTTTGTGTGTTTTGGCATGCTTGCGGAAGAAAGCTTCTGCCACTCATGCGATGACTTTGCTTCCTATGCTTTCGGCGAGCTAACTTGGCTGTTTATGACGTTGGATATTTATAAGCGGATTTTTTCTGCTTCTCTCTATCTATCTATCTATCTATCTATCCAACTTATCTAACGCAGCATTTTTCATGCTTAGCCTTGGCTTTATCGCTTCATTGTTTTTTAAACCCCTTTTTTGTATATTTCATGGAATCACTATGGCGTTTTCTTTCTTGAATCAGTTATTTGATATCTGCACAAGACCTATTTCCTCGTTTTGTGATTCGAATTATTTAGTCAATATCTGCCTCCGTTATTGAAATAATCGGATTTGAACTCTTGTAGTTTTTAAACGATGCCAAGTATGTGTCCATAAACTATTCCCATGATTTATGCAACACACCGCAGGTCGTTGATAGGGTATTAGTTTCACAATTCCAATTAGCTTTGTAAGTTTTTGTTCCTTTCTATGGAATCTTCAAGATTCGTGAAATTTCTTAGGAGAGTTTGTCAACAATGGAATCTAAAATCACTCTGGTCACTAAGTAAATAGTCGCCTTAATTCTCGTACCCATTTCGGGAAAACGGGTGTGAGGAGCGTGTTATTGATTATCTTTGAGATGATCTGATGTCAAAAGTGTAGCAACCTTGAGGACAAACCAACACTTTGATACTTCGAGCCTAATGATGATGACAGCCTTGGCTATTCATGACTGTCATGTATCCGTCAAGCGTTTTCTTTGACACATTATTCTGTCTAGACTTTCCTGACCTTCGTTAATTGGTATGTGTAGTCTTTGATTCCTTGTGACTTATTAAGTCAGGAGTGTTTGGTTGTTCTAATGAATTGAGTTTTTTTCATGCCTTAGGGTTCTTGATTTCTACAGATTTTTTTTAAATCTACAATTGCGGTTTGTCAATATCTTTCCTCAAAATGATCTCTTGCGTTGCACGATTATACGTAGATTTCGTACATTCTGGAACATTCCCTATTTTCATTTCTTTGTCATTTATGCCCACTCTCATTTATTCAGACTCTAGGACCGAATTTTCAAACTTGTATGACTTTCCAAACGTCGCGTGAAACTACAATTAGATCGGTTAGCTCTGTTACTAGTTCAATTTCGATTGTGTTTCAGGGAGATTTGATCTAGTTTAAATTCGCATGGACGGCGGTTCGATTTCTTCCAAGTTCATACTCAAACTTTTCCATTTACTGAAAATTTAATTTCTTCCTTCACAGCTGAAGTTAAGCACCGTCCAATTCCTATTTTTTTTCTAATTGAGTAGAATTACATTTCCGCTTGTGTATTTTTTTTCTATTACCAGCCTTCTATTTGGCGACACCATGGGAACACAACTTATTCCCCTTTTTTTTAGTTAACAAGGCTTTTGTCTGAATATGGAAACCTACGCTTTCGTAATTTCGAGAAGACTAAATTGACCCCCTCCCCCCCCCCCCCCCCCCACTAGGAGCGGAAAAAAGCATTTATTATTTTCCTTGTTTAATATTGCATGAGGCTTGTCCTAATTATAACAATTTCCTTCCCGTCAGCACCTTTGGGTGTAGTGGTTCTATTTTGGTCTCTCGAAAAATGGGAGCTGTTGTGTCTTGTTAAGAACTACTGTCAGAGGAGAAAAAAAGATGAAAATATGGAATGTCTTTGCCAATTTGTTAAATGATGGCAATTGTCTCCACTGCTGCGCTTCATCCTTTTCGCAAGAACTTTTATCATTGCTTTTCGCATTGTTTGTATCTTGCTTCAAGAATAACGGTGCACTTTGTTGTTTCCATTCCAGCCTTATTCTGCAGTTGCTTTTTTTATTATTTTCCTTTGTGTGTCTTAGGCCTGGCTGCGTTGGAGCCTCGTGAAACTGATTCATCACAAGCAGAGGTAGACACAAATAGCCTGAGGAGATCCACCTTTTGCGCTAACCGCAAAGACTCCTGTTGTGTCTCTGCTCTGCAAAGTGAGAGTCAGGACTTCTTTCAATCTGCTTGGGATCGTCATATCTCTCATCTACGTGAGGCTACACGAGCGACTGTTCTTGCGTCGATTGTGGATATTAGTGGTTGTGGAATGGGATCAGCCCCTAGACCGAATTCAAGGTCTACCACCTCTCCTACTCTGGGACGTCATTCTATTTTTGTATCTGACGGACCAGGTCTTTTGGATTCAGTTGGAGAAAATTATCCAGGTTCACCACCCTCCGATTCGAATAGGAAACATAGTGAAGGTTTTGGGACGGCGGAAATGACCTCCCCTAGGCGTCCTTTGCGTTTCTCCATGCCAGGTTTAAAATTCAACCAGCCGATAGCTGTCACGCGACTTGAAGCACCGAAAGAAAGTCACTCTAAAGAGGAGGAGGAGGAGGAGGAAGAAGAAGATTTGATTGATCGAAGTCCCAGTCCTACCTCCAAGCAGTAACAAATTCTTAAGAGGCATCAACGCACTCTGGCTAGAAGAGATATGCAAATACCAACTCTTTGTGATTTATCCAAGTCTGTTGTGTCAATATAGAGTAGCACATATTTATATGTAAACCCCATATTTGTAAAAGAGCACACACTTATATTCCCATATATTTATCCCCTACGCTCAGTTCCCCTTGATGATGAAAATATGTTCGCCTCTCTCTGTCCTCTCTACCACCATTCTCCTCCCCAACGAATCCGGATTATTCCTATGCCTTAGTTAGTTTCGATTTTACAATAGTGATTGCGAATTGAACAACGTCTTGTATCTGGATATTTGGGCCCTCGTTAGTTTCATTCATTTGTTGGTGGGGTGGGGGTTAAATTCGAATGCTCTTCTTGGGCGGTCGGAAAATAAATCGGTTATAATTTAATTCAACTTGTAAAATATTGATTTTTTGTTAGCCTTCGATGAATTAAGTTTAGACCCAGAAGGATTGAATTGAGATTCATTCTTTTACTGTCGCTCAGGACGTTCACAAGTATTGAAGCTTTGGGGTGGAGCGGCTGCTCGGTTAGGAAGTAGTGGACCAATAAATTAATTATGAATTAGGGTAATGAATAAAATAAAGTGGGCAGTTAGTTTTATTGGGAGAATTCTTCCAATGATCTGAATGTAGCCCTCGCGAATGGGGAAAGCAATAAAATATTGGCCACAAAACTGTCAAGTCGCCTTTTGCGTTTTTTCCGGAAGGGGTTAGATGGAATTTTTATTACTAAAGAAAATAAGCAATCTCATGAAGAATGCATTAGTCACAAACAAATAGTAATCGCATTTAAGTCCACTAAGATAATGACCCATCAGTTCGGCAATTTAAATGCAGAATTTAAGACTACTTATAAATACCTTTAAGTATGACAAGCGAGGGGTCTGAGAAACGAAGATTTAAGAACCAATAAAGGGGTTCAAATAAGAATAAAGGCATTGATCGACCACTTTTAAGCACATATCCCATGAAATAATTTAGTCAACACATCTAAATTCGTACATCCTGGAGTTAACTTTAGAAATGTCCACTGAAAAAGTCACCATACCCAAGAACACATGTCCAATGTTGGAATGGACGAAACTGGTATTAACGCTAAGTGTATCAAATAAGAGAAGACTTAATTGAAGTAGCAAGCCATTCCTGAAATTATCGAATCTAACGACACAAAACCGCATGGAAACTTACTAAAACCTGACTCATCAAAATTGGAAAGCACTTTATAAGCACACCGAGAAATAAAGAAGTATACAAAGCAAATTTAGACTTTATTGAAAGACAATATATAATTTCAAAACAATAGACCAATAAAGTGACAAAATTAGGAAAGATTCTGAGCCCATTCATCGAGTTTCTGGACAAACAAGGAATTGGATACAGGGGAGGTGGAATCGTAGCCAGGAGATTTAACAACATATTCAACAAAGAGCTTATATACATTTTCTAGTTCCTTATAAAGAGGTGGCAAAGAAGGTTCCGAGGTAAGGAAAATTTTCAAACCCGTAGGTCCCTCGAAATAATGCAGTCGATATCTATTAGTTTTGTACGACAGAGTGTAAATATCATTTTCAGCAGAAGACAATCGTGAACAAAGAGCTTTCAACCCAACTAGCATACCTCGCATCAACTTTGCGTCATTTTCTTTGGAATTTGAAGCCTTCAAAGTCACCCACTCCTTGTAGAAAACGTTATTTCCGCGAACGTCAAAAATGTACATATTCAAAAACTTCATGATAGGGCAGAAGATGTATCAATTATTTCTGAATAGAGATTTTCCTATCCAACTGATGGTATAGCAAATGAGGAAAGCAATCACAGTAGTAGGAATTAGAAGAATATAATAAACATCCATAAAGTGAAGGGCACAAAGTGCTACTTGATTTTCACGCCTTTGTTATCACCGGAGCTAAGAATCTAAGAGTTGAAATTAGATAATTATAAATTTTAGATGCAAATAAAGTAAAAATATCTTGCAATACTAAAATCCAGCATTAATAATTATACAAATGATATCCTTGTCCAGAAATAATTGTTTTAATTTAGAGAAAATATCTCTTAATTATCTTCCATGATTTTTATTGAAATATGAGGGTGATTTATAGTGGGATCACAGGACTCACTACCATGTGTATGCGTCTTTAAATTGTTTTCCTAAAGTGGATGATAGAATAGCGCATTATATCATTCTTAGAATGTCAGAAATGAATCATTATCACTCTATAAAATGAAACATTTTCGTTTTCGATTTCCAAACGGCAACTATTCGCTAAAGTTCACAATTGTCCTCATACTCGAATTTTTTAGCCAGAAATTAATCAAGAACGGAAAATGGTGAAATAATTTTCCAATTCGAATTCAAGCATTTATGTATACATCATGGAAGCGTAACAGAATTTTGATTAATTATAGAGTTCTGAAAGCACAAATCCATTTTGAATGTAAATTCAATTATACTTGTTTTAATATGTTCAGGGTTGTTTATATTAGTCATTAAATGATAAATGCTTTATCTAAATCACATGCTTTGCACGCTTTAACATGGCAGCGCATGCTAGGCCATCCTAAAGAATCATTTTTATCTTCTTCAAGTGACCGGCTTGATAATTTTTAACAATGTACGATATTTATAGGTGATAATCACCAATTGTATTTATGACTTATGGCTTAAGTATGAATAAAATTTCCCCAATATCTTTCCATTTATCTGAAAATTCAAAAGTTCTATGAATTACAATCCTCTATCCTCAACTTTCCCTCAGGACGAAAGTTTGATGTCAATTAGAGTGAAAGCAAAAAAATGAAATATAGTATTACAATGATTCCTAATTTTGGAGCAATAGGTAAAATGATAATGTACAAGGGTGCTTTAACACATCTTGCCATTTACTGGGTGGTATATCGCTGAAAAATCGAATAAATGAAAATGGGTTTCAAATTGGTTTTGAACCTTAGTCTTTAACACTTATTCTAGACGGTGATTTCAATACACATGTAAATCATTATGGTTTTACATTGTTTATTGTAGTTAGATATAATTGCAAATAGCTGCTATGGGCAGTAGCTATCAATAAGCACAACACTGCACATCCTGATATCGTGGTGCGGTAGTTATATTTAGACATTGAAGAAATAACATAAATGACACAAAACTTGAGAATATTAAAGAAATAAGCCAGAGCAACTGCGATCTGCTTTAAATTTACCTATTAACTTTAATCGCTTTGCAACATTGAATTGGTAATAAAATGATTTTCGGAGAACAATTATAAAGTTTATTGTTAAAAGCATCGTGTATTTGAAGGCTTGACGAAGATAAATACAATCTGTTGGATTTGTGGTTGCAACTAGAAGAGACTAAATTGAAGAAAATATCAATATTATTTAAGCGTAATTCATTGATTTTCTTTTCCCTTCAGATTTAGCTTCATAATTAACTGGAATATTAAAATATAACGTGAATAACATCAAGAATATACAACGAAATGGTCTAGAACCTCCGAAAACCACCATTATCTAACAACTAATAATATTCTTCACACGGGGTGTGCGATAGGCTTACCTAGACGTGTTGTACCCCGGCGAAGGTATACTTATACGACAAAATGTCTATTAACCGGCAGTTGACTTCTGATTTCAAACTACCATGACCCCACTGTGTCATTTTCCACTACTTCCACAGTATGCACCTTTCCATTTTTTCTACTTTTGTGTCTGTCTATTTTACATATGTGAAGCACTCTTCCGTCCCCTCCCTCTCGATGTTTTTTCACCTTGATATTCCTTCCCCTCTGTGAATCCTGAAGTCAACTAAAGGGCTAATGATAACTATCAAAACGCCTGTAACTTGATATAAATATTCAGCACACAGCAAGGAGGAGTTAAATGCAATAGAGTTCGGGATTTGAATAAATGGAATTGAAAATCAAATCGAAAAATATGGTAAACATCAATGTGCATGCATTACTCTTTTTGGCATTACTTCAACTTTGATTTTGGAGCTGAGGAACTAACTTAAGGCTTACAATTTCAGGTTTTAACCACTTTGGAACGGTATTAAGTAAAATTATAAATATACTCACTAGCATGAGTAT